TACAGGCCAGAAGGGAGAGGCATGATATATTTAATGGACTGAAACAGATGGACTTCCAACCAAGAATCCTCTACAAGGCAACATTATCATTTAAATTTGAAGCAGGGATTAAGCAATTTCCAGATAAATGAAATTGAAGGAATTCACCTCCATTAAACCAACCTTACAGGATATGTTAAAGTGACTGTTGTAGATAGAAATGTTTCTAAGGCTAAATAGCTTTCATCAGTGAAAATTAACTCATGGTAAAGGTAGTAGACCAAATAATTACAAAGCAAGTACAAAATTAAAACAAAAGCAGCAAAATCAACTATTTACCAAATCAGTCAAGGAGTACACAAAATACAGATTATGACATCTAATATGAAAAATATGGAGGAGGAGGAAGAAGGAAAAAAAATTACCTTTGGATTGTGTTCGAAATATAGTAACTAGCAATTTTAGATAGACTATTATGTAGTAATGAAGCTATCCTTGAACCTTTGGTAACCAAAGAACTAAGACCTACAATAAATACACATATACAAAAATAAATTTTAAAAAGAGAGAAGTCCAATTACACTAATGAAAACCATGAATAACAAGAGAAGACTATAAGGAAGAATGAGATAGGAGATATAAAAAACAGCCAGAAAACAATAAAATGACAATAAGTACATACTTATAAGTAATCACCTTAAATGTAAATGGACAGAATGCACCAATCAAAAGATAGGGAATGGCAGAATGGATAAGGAAACAAGACCCATCTATATGCTGCCTACAAGAGACTCATTTCAGACCCAAAGACAGACTAAAAGTGAAGGGATGGAAAAAGAAATTTCATGCAAATAATAGGGAGAAAAAAGGAAAAGCAGTACTTGGCAGACAAAATTGACTCCAAAACAAGGAAAGTAACAAGAGACGAAGAAGGACATTAGATAATGATAAAGGGATCAGTCCAACAAGAGGCTATAACAATTATAAATATCTATGCACTCCACATAGGAGCACCTAAATATGTAAAACAAATACTAACAGAATTAAAGGGAGAAGTAGATCACAACACATTCATTGTAGGGGACTTTAAAACCAACCATCAATAATACACAGATCAACCAGAAAGAAAATAAGTAAGGAAACAGAGGCACTGAACAATACATTACATCAGATGGACTTAACAGATATCTACAGAACACTCCATCCAAAAGCAGCAGGATACACATTTTTTTCTCAAGTGTACATGGAACACTCTCCAGAATAGATCAAATTCTAGGCCACAAGAAGAACCTCAATAAAATCAAAAAGTTTGAAATTTTATCAAGCAGCTTCTCAGATCACAATTATATGAAAACAGAAATGAATTACACAAAGAAAACAAAAAGACTTAAAAACATGGAGGCTAAACAACACACTTCTAAATAACCAGTGGATCAATGAACAAATTAAAACAGAAACCAAGCAATACACAGAGACAAGTGAAAGCAAAAACAGAAAAGCCAAAAATCTGTGGGACACTGCAAAGGCAGTTCTAAGAGTAAAGTATGTAGCAATACAGGCTTACCTCAAGAAAAAAGAATAATCCCAAACAGCCTAATATCACAATTAAAGAAACTAGAAAAAGAAGAACAAAGGAAACCCAAAAGTCAGTAGAAGAAGGAACATAATAAAGATCAGAGAGGAAATAAATAGAGAATAAAAAAATAGAAAAAAAAAATCAATGAAACCAGGAGCTGGTTCTTTGAGAAAATAAAAGAGATAAATGCTTAGCAAGACTTATCATGAAAGAAAAAGAGTGTACATACATAAACAGAATCAGAAACCAAGAAGGAATAATCACAATGGATACCACAGAAATACAAAGAATTATTAGAGAATACTATGAAAAACTATATGCCAATAAACTGGAAAACTTAGAAGAAATGCACGACATCCTAGAAAAATACAACCTTTCAAGACTGACCCAAGAAGAAACAGAAAATCTGAACAGACCAATTACCAACAATGAAATCAACAAGGTAATCAAACAATTCTGAGTACAGATAGCTTCACAGCCAAATTCTACCAAACATCTTAAAGAAGAGCTAATACCCACCTTTCCTAAAGCATTCTAAAAAGTAGAAGGGGAGGGAATACTTCCAAACTCATTTATGAGGCCAGCATTACTCTAATACCAAAACCAGACAGATACCACAATAAAAGAAAATTATAGACCAATATCCCTGATGAACATAGATGCAAAAATACTCAACAAAATATTAGCAAACCAAATTCAAAAATACATCAAAAAGAGCATCCATCATACCAAGTGGGATTTATACCAGTGATGAAAGGATGGTACAATATTTGAAAATCAGTCAGCATCATACACCACCATAACCAAACATGATCATCTCCATAGATGCTGAAAAGAATTTGACAAAATTCAACAACCATTCATGATAAAAACTCTCAACAAAATGAGTATAGAGGGTACATACCTCAAATAGTAGAAGCCATATAAAAAAAACTCATAGCCCACATTGTACTTAATAGCAAAACGTTGAAAGCTTTTCCTCTAAGGTTGGGAACAAGACTAGGAATGCCTACTCTCACCACTTTCATTCAACATAGTACTGGAAGTCCTGGCCACAGAAATCAGATAGCACAGAGATAAAAGGCACCCAAATTGGTAAGGAAGAAGTTAAACTGTCATTATTTGCAGATGACATGCTACTATACATAGAAAACCTTAGGGAATTCACCAAGAAACTACCAGAACTAATAAATGAATTCAGCAATGTTGCAGGATACAAAATTAATACACAGAAATCTGTTGCATTCCTATATACTAACAATGAACTAGCAGAAAGAGAAATCAGGAAAACAATTCCATTCACAACTGCATCAAAAAGAATAAAATACCTAGGAATAATACTTTGAAAACTACAAGATAACTCATGAGAGCAATTACACAAGACACCAAAAAATGGAAATATATCCCATGCTCATGGATAGGAAGAATTGATATTGTCAAATGGCCATCCTGCCTAAAGCAATTTTTAGATTCAGTGCAATCCCTATCAAAATACCAACAGCATTTTTCAATGAACCGAACAAATAGTTCTAAAATTCGTATGGAACCACAAAAGACCCCCAGTAGCCAAAGCAATCCTGAGAAAGAACAAAGCTGAGGGGACTACACTCCCTGACTTCAAGCTCTTACTACAAAGCTATAGTAAAATCAAAACAATTTTGTACTGGCACCAGAACAGACCCATAGATCAAAGGAACAGAATAGAGAGCCCAGATATAAACCCTCACAAGTATGGTCAATTAATATATGATAAAGGAGCCATGGATATACAATGGGGAAATGACAGCTTCTTCAACAACTGGTGTTGGGAAAATTGGACAGCTACATGTAAGAGAATAAAATTGGGTTATTGTCTAACTCCATAAACAAAAGTAAACTCATAATGGATCAAAGACCTGAATGAAAGTTACGAAACCGTAAAGCTCTTAGAAGAAAACAGGCAAAAATCTCTTGAACATAAATATGAGCAATTTTTTCCTGAATGTTTCTTCTCAGGCAAGGGAAACAAAAAATGAACAAGTGGATACTACACCAAACTAAAAAGCTTCTGTATAGCAAAGGACACCATCAACAGAACAAAAAGGCATCCTACAGTATGGGAGAATATATTCATAAACGATTTATCTGATAAGGGGTTAGCAGCCACAATATATAAAGAGCTCATAATCTCAATACCAAAAAAACAAATAACCTGACTAAAAAATGGGTGGAGGACCTGAAGAGACATTTTTTCAAAGAATACAGATGGCCAACAGGCACATGAAAAGATGCTTTACATTGCTAATCATCAAGGGAAATTAAATTCAAAACCACAGTGTGTAGTAATCACCTCACACCAGTCAGAATGGCCACTCTCCAAAGGACAAAAAATAATAAATACTGGCGAGGATGTGGGAAAATGGGAGTCCTCCTACACTGTTGGTGGGAATGTGAATTGGTGCAGCCACTGTGGAAAGCAGTATGGAGGTTCCTCAAGAAACTAAAAATATGAATACTATTTGGTCCAGTAATGCCACTCCTAGGAATTTACCTGAAGAAAACAAAATCCCTGTTTCAAAAGATATATGCACCTCTATGTTTATCACCTGCTATTTGATATAGCCAAGATATGGAAGCAATGTTAAGTGTCCATCAACAGATGAATGGATAAAGAAGAGGTGGTACATATATACACAATGGAATATTAGTCAGCCATAAGAAAAAGAAATCCTGCCATTTGCAACATCATGGATGGATCTCGAGGGTATAACGCTCAGTGAAAAAAAAAAGACACAAAAAGACAAATACCATATGATTTTACGTATTTGTGGAATATAAAAACAAAGCAAAACAGAAGGGACAAAATAGCCATAGACTCATAGACACAGAGAAGTGACCAGTGGTCATCAAGGGGGAGGGGTTGGAATGGGTGGTGAGGGAGGGGGAGGGTGATAAAGGGGCACAATAATTTGCAATCACAATATAAGTCACAGGGATGGTCGTACAACATGAAAATACAATCAGTGATTCTGTAACATATTTCTATATTGATAGATAGTAACTGCACTAGTGGGGATGAGGATTTAATATTACTGTTGAACCATTGCGTTGTACATTTAGAACCAATGTAAGACTGTACATCAGTAATACTTTAATAAATAATCCTACTGACCATCATTGTACAGACAGCTTTGTATATTGTATTTCTATGTAGAACAGAGTATTTTTGCCATGATTGCTGAGTTAAAAGGTGTTCAGAACTGTATCATCTATACTGTATAGCCAAGTACTCTTTTCCACCATACTCTCAACTGTATTGGATATTAAGGGGTTTTTTTGCCATCCTGATGTACCTAAGTTTATATTTTTCCTTTTTTAAAACAGAAAGTTGTATTTCACTGAATAACGAGGTTGAGCATTTTTGTTTGTGTTATGGGGGTGAATTATGGACTATTATTTTACTTACTAAAATTCCTCCATGAAACATACAGAGGTTCTCCTGGTTCCTGATGAAGGTTGATGTTATCCCATAACAGCTGAATATACACAAGTTTGCTATCCTGGGACAGGGATGATAGAGGAAGCTACAAGAAATCAATAGGAAGTATTAGTACCCTAAGCATAATAACCAGTGGACCCAGCAAAACTTGATTATATAAAAGAAGAAATAATTTCTGAGTACATTTTCTGGGCCTAAGTTTGAGTAAAATTTTAATTTTTTTTATACCTGATGATAAATGTTTTCTGAGGTACAGGTTTTTTATTCTGACTTTCAAGGACTGGAATGACAAACTGGTAACCAACACAATGGCACATGAAAGATTAACCAGCATAACAACAAATTTTAAAGTAAGGAAAAGTATAATCATTTCTGCTGTCTTGTACTGACTACTATTTAAGATAAATGAGCTAAACAGAGGGTAATACTTTTAAGATTTTCTTGCATTCCTGGTATATGTTTGGGGCATGGGGTATCTCTCTATACTCATTTAAAATGAAGGAACTGTAGGAACTCACTGATTCCAATGGAATCAGGGACCCCAACACAAGTAAACCAGGAGCTTTAAAGTCAGACAGCCAGACTGTAATCTTGGCTCCCATTCTGTATTAGGTATGTGACATTGCAGAAATTATTTCTCTTTTGTCACCTGAGAAATATGGGTAATAGGAGTCCTTTAAAATAAGGTTGTTGCGAGAATTGCAGCTGGGAATATGATGGCTTAGAATAAAAGTACCTTTTCTAGCCACCCTTGACACTAGATACAACCATATAACTAACTTTAGGCAAAACAGATACATATGGAAATACTATGTGTAACTCTAGGAACTATCCTTAAAGAAAGAAGACATACTCCCCTCCATCCATTTTTTTTTTCTCCTTACTGCTGGCTGGAATGTGGATATAATAGAATGGAGGTAGATCAGCCATCCCGGACCAGATGTAGAACTTAGAGATGTAGGTCATGTGTAGCTGAGCAAAAGACAGAAGCATCTCAGGTCTCTAACACTCTACGATCCCTAGAACACCTACCCAAACTTTTATGTGAGAAAGAAATAACCTATGTCTTGTTGAGCCATTAGTATTGTATTACCTGAAGTCAAGTCTCATCCTAACCAACACCAATTAGGTATAAAAATTGGGAACCTACCTGTACACCTCCATTACAATGTTCAGAAGTGAGGATAAGTCCTGGCAAGTTACTAGGAAGGTCCAAACGTCTGAAATACCAAATGAGGTTCCAGAAAATGATTGGATGTTGATTGATGAAAGAGGATGTGTGAATCACTTGATCACCTTCATTTTCTAGCAAAGATTCAAGTTCTTTACGAAGCACTAGAGGACTCAAGTAGGGCACAGAAACAGGAGAAGGATTGGGTCTTTTTCCTAAAGGATCCTTAAAAAAATAAAAACACAAAAATAAGTGAACATTATCTATTTGATTCTAAATGCTGAAAAGTACTCAGTGAGATTATTATTCTCTATCTGTCCATTCAAAATCAGTTATTTCAGGACCATTGCCACATGCAATAGAACACCCTAATGAAAATCTAAAAAGGAAAAATATAATCATAAACACCCTTAAGTGATGATGAGAGAAAATTAATAATCCATATAATAGGCCCTATTTTAAATATATAGTTTATCATGTTAATAAATGAGCAACGGTCTTGTATGATTTATTTTTTCCTTTTCAATTTTTTTGTAAGAAATATTTGCATTTCATGTTTTATAATGGTGATACCAAAAGTGTGACTATTTTCCTCCGCCAACTCTAAACAGGGTAATTTTTTGTGTTATCTGATGACTCCTTTTAAATTTATATCTAAGTAATTTTTACTTTTGGTTGCAACAAAAACTAAAGTAGTTGAGCAGTTGTATAAATCAAATAAAATAACAAATGAAAAAAACTCCAACCCAGACTTTATAATTTGTGAAGATTATAATTAGAATAAAATGCTTATGACCAACTTACTAGCCAGTAACTTTAGTATCCAGATTGACCTAGTACAAGATCTGCAAATACCACTTCCCTCTAAAAAAAAAAGCAGGGTTTTTTAGAGAAATGACTGACTCTCAGTCTGGAGAAGGAAAGAAGTAACAAGAGCATGAAACATCTTATCATATAAGAAAGCAATGGAGCTTTAAACAAAAAATTACAGAAAGGCTACTAGAGTGTGTCAAAAGGACTAAGACACCAATTTATAAAGACTTCTAGCTAACCAAAGAGGGCTAATATAAACATCAATAAGGGTAACAGCAGCAATAGATGTAAATGTTTAAATCACTGGGGTCATAATGATACCCTATTCCCCCAAATTAACTTATCACCTTGAAGAATGCTAGGAACCCAACTTGTTATTTTGAAAATTGGTAAATAAAATGAAAAAAAATCAAACATTTATCCTGTCTTTCCAAAATAAACTGCATCTCTGGAAAACCAGACAGATAAACATGGGGCAAGTTTCTCTTCATAGATACAGTTTCACATAAAAAATGACAGAATTAGACTAACTTGATCTAGGAATTGAGGCATTAACAGCTACTGACATCACAAAGATAATGTCTCCTACTGAAGGAACATATCCCCACTGATGAAGTCATCTTACAAATATAAACAAATGAATAACAAAACAAAAACAAAAATCTGAATCTGATCAAGCTTCTAGATACAATTACCAATTTATAGGACTGTATCAACAAATAATTTGCAAGGGAAAAAAAGACTCTTCATATTAAAAAAAACCTGAAAAACAGATCAGCCAATTGTAATGTATGGACTTACTTGATTTTGATTCATGAAACTACAAAGCAAACTACATACTTGAGACAACTAGAATTTAAACAAAGACTGGGTAATTTGACATTATTTGTTATATTTTGCTCTGAATGGCAATGTATTTTTAAGAGTCTTTATCTTTTAGAATTATATACCAAGATATTTACCAATAGAATAAATATATGTTTAACATTTGATTCAAAATAATCTAGGAAAGAAAGAAATGGAGGTATACATGAAAGAAGAACAGCTGTTCAGTTGAAAGTTACTGAAGCTAGATGATGGGTCAAAGAGACTCATTATACTCTTCTGTTTATTTCTGTACACAGTTGAAATTTTGAAAGTTCTTGGTCTGTTTATGAAAAATTCTTCCCACTTTTAATGTGATTAAAAGAAATCTACAGAAGGATTATGTACTGTCCTAATATATACTTACATGAATACACAATTATGTTACATACCACAACTTCCTGCAGACTGTTTGGAAGACTAACTGTTGAAATGCCATGAAATGGTCGCTGAGAAAAGTCAATATTTTGCAAGGGACCTCCAACACTATGACTTCGAGTCAAAGATACATTTCGCTTTGACAAACTATTAGGCACAGGTGAAAATTTCATAGTTTGGACATCTCCAGTGGCTGTCTTTATTTCATCACTTAAAAATAAAGAAGAAATGCCATGTTTGTGCTATACAACAATTTAAATCTATAGAGCTAGAGTATCTTCTACAATGTATTTCGAGCTTACTGAATATATATATGAGTCAGTACTGTCTTAGAACAATTAAATTTTCCTAGGACATTTTTGTAAAACTGGTCAAGAGAGCAGGATGGAGTGGATGCCTCTGGTGAAGGGTAAAAAGGGGACATATGGTAGCTAACAGATACTATTGTTAAAAGATGAAGTGCCCATTCAGTTTCTTTATTCAAACAGTATTTCAGCTTTATTAAAGAAAATCACCTAGAAGTATACTGCATGCAATTGAGTATTGTAAAGTCATAAACAAGTTATTTATCTCTACTAGACCATAACCCACCTAAGGATAAAGACCAGATCTTATTTATTTTTAGTACTCAGCATTATGCTCAGTGTACAATAGGCTCTCAATAAATGCCTGATTCGATCAATATTTAAGAGCAAATTGTATACTTCAAAGTAAAGAGATTATGTCTCTGGAAACTGGCAATGTTTGCACTGAAAGGGAAAATTATTTTACTGTTGAGAAGTTCATTTTGTTAAAGGCCACTATAAAACAATAAACATAGTTTCAAAAATGGTTTATCATCAGATTCATGTGCCAGAATAACAAATGATAACTAACGCTTATGTTTAAACAGTATACAGTAGTAAAAGTTAAAATTTTAGATGCCAGAACTTATGCCTACATGAGTTAGGCTGTCTTTAAAAGATGGAATTTTTACAAGTGCCCTATTTATTATCAAGAGGTATCTGCATCCAATGGTACCTTGGTTCAACTGCAGAGCTTGTCTCTTCAGTTATAATCTGGTTATGTTTTGGGAAATCCATAAAGTTGATCAAGTCAGGCTCTGCTGAACTGGACACAGGTTTGTGCTCCAAAGGTTCACCAACCAGTGCAATGCTGCCACTTTGTAAACTGTCACCAGAGGTACTTGGTTTCAGAAAAAAGCTAAATATGAAGCAGTTAAAAAAGAAAAGTCTTTAAAAACCCCAGAGTCCTTTAAATTTCATCCTATTTAGATTAACCTATGGTAAAGCAAGTCAGTGAATTACACAGTCTAGAAATATTGCCTATTTCAAACACATAACACTTCTGCACTCATTCTCTTTTCAAATGAAAAGGACTAGAGCAGGTCCATTTTGTATTAAGCTTTCTCTTTCTTGATTTCTGTTGTGAATATTCTTAATTTCTTGAAGAGAAATCATTAATGTAGATGTCATCATAAATTTTCCACCTTATGATTTGTTTTTGGAGTCTTAGTTTTGAGTTACCTATAAAGTTCAGCTCCAAGAATTAACTACTAACCAATAATCCTATATTAAATAAAATGGAAAAGTAGTCTCCTGTATCACTAGTTTTTTACTCAAATACGAAAAGTGAAGGAGAGAAAATAAAGGGACATCTGGGGCATTCGATGGTATTTCCCTCTTCCTGCAGTAGTCACGTCTTAGGAGGGCACTTACCTCTTAAGGGAGCTTTTACAATACTAACCTTGCAGAGCCTCTCAAGTCTTTAAATTCAATATTGAGAAGCGGCAAGAAGTTGCTTTTACAGAATGGACAAGTTGTATTCAAATTTGAATCATCTGCCGTCCATCCAGCCATAATTTCTTCATCATAAACTAAAGCTCCACAAGCTCTGCACTGTGAACAACTTGACATCAAAACCTGAGAGGAGAGAAGTGCAGACATGAGAACTTCTACAATGAAAAGTAATCTCCCTAGGCCGTTCTCTTGAGACATACAATTTTAGTCATTGATCAAATTTGAAATTGAACAATTAACAATTACTTTATAGATAAAACCACCAGTATTATTGCCTTATTACATAAAATATCAAGCAAATATTATTTTATTAAACGAAATGACGTATTATTCTGTCCACAGGGGTATCACAGAAAACAGAACTTCTACCTCCAATGCACAATTCTGATAGATGCTAGACATGCTGGTGTTTTGAGAAGACCCATGGTCTGATTTTTCAAAGTCCTGCCCTTTTATGCCTCTAGGAAATGGAAGTTCACCTAGACAGAAGTAAACAACAGAACACATTTATGAAAATGTTCTTACTCTTTGCAAATGCATAGTAAAGTATTTAAGGGGAAGCATCACAAGTCTGCAATTTATTTTCAGAGTGGTCCAGTATAAAAATGTGTGTGTGTGTGAGAACAAAAACAGTAGTTAACTAAATCTAGGTAAAGAATATATAATTGTTCACTATATGATTCTTTCAATTTTCCAGGACATTTTAAGTTTTCATAATAGGAAGTTGATTGGAGAAAATCAATAGAATTACAATTTTAAAAATTAACACAGAGCTATGGGTGGGGAGGGAGGGAGAAAGGGATTAAAGGGCATTATGGTTAACACATATAATGTAGGGGGGGTCACAGGGAAGACAGTATAACACTGAGAGGACAAGAAGTGACTCTAGCATCTTACTACGCTGATAGACAGTTACTACAATGGGGTGTGTGGGAGACTTGATAATATGGGTGAATGCAGTAAGTACACAATGTTGCTCAAGGGAAACCTTCGTAAGATTATATATCAATGATACCTTAATTAAAAAAAAGAAATATATATATATATATATAAAGGGAATATATATATATACAAAATAATTTAACACTGACCTAACAAATTTCTGTGATACAGCTCAGAGACTCTCAAACTCTGGTATACATCTTATTTATCCAGGAAGCTGGCTTAAAAATATATATTCTGAAAGCTCCATTCCATAGATTCAGTCTCAAGAGTTTTAGCCTAGGACTTGGGCATTTGTATATATTTTTAAACAAATCCCACAAGTGATTCTGATACACACTAAAGTTTGAGAATTAATGATATAATACACAAGTATACACAACTAAAAATAAACTCAGTAGGTGACTGTAGTACTTGTATACCATATAAATTAATAGTGATACTATGGAATGGCTGTATTAAAAATCTATCAGATCACCTCAACAAACAGGGCATGAGGGGGTGGGAGGGAACAGTACAAGACACAAGCGAGGACACCCTCCCCATACCTGTGGAGAACTGCAGTCTTCCTACATCCCCACTGCTGCCACTACTGCCAAGGCTGGTGTTGCTCTGGGACAGTTCACCGGGGACCAGCCCTGAGATACTCATGTTAGGTGACACATTCTCCCCCAAAATATGGTCTTCGAGGCCAGCTGGGAAGCTGTAATCTCTATTAGTTTCTTCCTTTGATTGAAAAGAATAAAACCCCACATATATAAGTAGTTTCTCCAAAGAAAATATATTCACTCTACCCTTTTAAAATAAATCATCATCCCCATATTTTTCAAAACCATAAATTACTTATATTATTTGGAGTTTTTCTTCCACAGTGTATGACATTCAGGCAATGACATATAGAATGTACTTTAAGATTATGTTGTACCCAGTATACATTAGGAGTGTGGAGTCTCTCAATATTCAGTATCATAAAATGAAGGAACTCTAGAAGCTCACTGTTACGAATGGAATCAGGAACCCCAGTACAAGTGTAGCAGAGGCTTTAGAGTCTCAGACAGCCAGACTGTGATCTTGGCTTCCCCATCACGTATTAGGTACATGACCCTGCAGAAATTATTTAACTTCTCTAACTTTTAATTATGTCATCTGAAAAATATCCTTTAAAATAAGATTATTGGGAGAATTTCAATTGGCAATATGATTGTTCAGAATAACAGCCATCAGTATTAGAGGCATAATAATATAATACAGAGTTCTGAACACTGTAGTTCTTAACCATTTTAAGTGATGATAGTTTAGATTGTGTTTCCTTTTTTTTTCTTTAGACTTCTGTAAGTCTTTTTTCTTTAGACTTCCTTATTGTAAGACCATGTTAAATGATACAAAAATTTCATTTAGATACGAAAAACAGGAAATAAAAGCACTTATAACACCAACACCTATAAAGTACAATCAAAATCTTGATGTATATATACTTCTAGTCATTTTTAAATATGCACACATAATACATTTTTACAAAACAGGATACTGTGTTTTAACCTAGTCTTTTCATGTATTTTAATGTCATTAAATCTTTTACATTATTTAAACACCTAAAACCTAATCTGATTTATTAATGTACTACTATGTATTCAGTAAACCCTCTATTGCTTAAACATTCAGAATGCTTTAAATTTAATATAAATTACACTGATGAATCCCTTCGAGCTATTTTTACACATATCTCTATTTCCTTATATTAAATTCTGGATAAAAGTTATGAACATCTTACAGACTTTTTTTCATTCTTTCACTGGAAATATTAAGTACATCTTATTTGCCTTTGCCAGGCGCTAGTACCAGGGTTACAGCAATGAGAAGAAAAGATTAAGATCTGCGATCACTTGGAATTTACAGTCAGATATTCCAAGTCCAAATTACTCTGTAGAAAGCTTTTATTTTTTAAACTCTGATAAAATTTCAGAAATAAAATGGTTCATTCTGTTATTTTCTTTTTAAAACATTATACCAGGTTAAGATACTTCTGAAGTTTGTCTTTTCTTCACTGAACTTGTAATCTCTTTAAATACAAGATGCAATTTCTTTTAATATTTGATATTATGCTTTTAATTCAATTAATAGTTTGCCTATAATATGAAGTTTTCCTTCAAGTAGTATAGAAGTTTTATTTGTCCAATCTGATTTCCTGTGCCTCTACTTCCTATTTAGACCTTTTGCAATCCAAAATTGATTATATTATCTTGAAAATGCATGTTTTAAGCCTCCATGCTTTTTCACATTATTCTCTCAGATAATACCTCTGTCCCCTTACCACTTTGATGGTAACTTCAAATTTATCCATCAAAACCCAACTTAGATGTCACCTGCTTTCTTCTTTTTGGACAGCCCCCAACCAGAACCTCTTCTATGGTATTATTTCCTTCTTTGCTACATTAGTGGTTAAGAACATGGACTCTAGAGCCAATCTCCCAGATTCCTAATTAAAGTTCTATCACTCACTAGTTGTGTGACCTGGAAGTTAATTAACCTCTCTGAATCTCAGATACCTCATGTATAAAATAGAGGTAATAAAAATTAAATATATATGTGTACATATATATAGATATATATCAAAATAAATATATAGCTTATGACAGTAACCATGACACAGTGTTACAATAATAATAGCAAATATTTATAGATGGCATCTTTTCTGAGGTACCCAAGTACTACATAATTCTTTGAATACGAAGGTGAATTTTTCATTAAGTTTTTCTATAAAACAAATACACAAAATTTCCTACTTCTATTTTCATAAAAAGATCTAATGATTCTTTTTAAAATGATTTTTAAAAATACTAGTTTTGTTATGCAGCATAAAATCTATGGATTAAGTTGTACAGTGATTTCATATGTATTAGAAATAAGGTAAAAGTTATTTAAAAAGTAAAGTGCTATGCAAAGTTCATATAACATGGGACTGTTAAATTCAAACAGTTCTCATCAAAGCTTTCAACAAAATAAACAATGTGTTGGGCTGATCTACTGAATTAAAAAAGTCTTCTGGAATTTACCAAAGGGGAGGGGTGGGACGGTAGGTGGGGAGGGAGGGAGAAGGGAACTGAAGGGTATCATGATTTGTGCACATGGTAAGTATCATGATTAGGGGATCATGGGGAAGACAGCGTAGCACAGAGAAGACAAGTAGGGACTCTGTGGCATCTTACTACACTGATGGACAGTGATTGCAGTGGGGTATGGGGGGGACTTGATAATAAGGGTGAATGTAGTAACCACATTGTTTTTCTTGTGAAACCTTCGTAAGATTGCATATCAATGATACCTTAATTACAAAAAAAGGAAAAAAGGAAAAAAATAGTCTTGATGTTGTATTTATGTATGTTCAAATCATTTCAAGAAATAGCATATGCATTGTTTTAAAATGTAAAAACCTTACCAGAAATCTCTAAATAATAGTTTATATATTAAAAAATACTACCAACATTCCAATATGAAACTGACCACACATGTGAGACATTCTTACCTCATCATCCGAGTAGTTGTAGGCAGATGCTACAGCTACCCACATCTTACTGGCCACTGTTGCTGCTTGTTTCATGCCAGATTTTAGAACATCTATCTTGGGTCCTGACAGTATATTATCCAGCTTTAGCCCTGACAAAGAATTTACCACAGAACCCAATGAGCCATGTGGTGAAGAGCGCACCAGTGCTGATAAAGACGTAGAACGTTCTTTATGACCTCGAGAGGGAGTTTGCTGCTTGAACCGCCCAGTCAAAGTTTTAGACCTAGATACTGCTGGGGAGCTCTCTTCACTTCCAGGACTTTCCTGTGCTGGTGGACCATCACCTAAAGGTAGGCTTGATCTCCTCTCTAGAGGGTAAGTAAATGCAGTGGGAGCAGCACTCTCTCTGTTCCCCTCTCCATGTAATTCCATACTAGCAGACTTGCTCCCTAGGGGACTCTTCAGGTTCATATAGCTTTCAATTTCATCAGCCAGATTGCGTGCAATAACTGGAGAAAATGACTTATCTTCAGAATCAGGAATTTTTTCTCCTATACATTCAGTGGCTAAAAGAGACAAAGGATCTAGTCCAGTTTCAACATCTTCCCTTTCAACAGCTTTAGCAACACCATACAAACTACTTCTCTTATTTATTAGATCTTTAGACCCTGCTTTCAAGTCTCTGGGCTGATGGCTGCTATCATCATTCTGTAGACCATCACATGTGTCCTTTGTCATAGTATTGTCAGCTACTTTGTCATCAACCACAGGTTCTAGGAGCTCCTGGCTTTCCTCAAGCATCTCTAACACCGAAGATCTGTGCTCAGAATCCCAAGTGTTTTCAGATACATGAGTCCTAGTATCAGCTAGATGACAGCTAACACTCTCAAAGCTCTGGGTTCTTCCACCATGAAGTGAAGAAGTCTTTGGACATGTTAGTGCTGCTGTGAGAATCTTGGCATCTGCTCCCATCATGATAGCTACTTCACTTGAATTCAAGTCCAGACTGCTCTTCTTAAGCAACATTCCTGCTCTACTTTCTGAACTAAAACTACAGCTCCTCTCTGGAAAATGCTGTCTTTTTTCTCCTTTATCACTGTTCTTCTTAAGATTAGTAACTTCAGCAAACACTGTATCTTCAACTGGCTCTTGTGCAGAAAATAACACATTTGATGTACTACCTAAAAGAGAAAGTACAATTTTAAAAATGAATGTTTTTTGCTGTAGCTTTTATAAAAAGTGTTTATCCTCTGATTTTTGAAAAGTGACGTACAGTAGAAGGTTCAGCACATTTAGAAGGTATACAGAAAAAGTACCAAAAAATAAATAAATCCATTCACCCTGCCTCCCAAAGATAACATTTTAATGTATCATCTGCCTTCCACCCTGCATGCATATACCAAACACATTTAAAAGATATGCAAATATGCTGTATATACCTTTATTGTTCACTAAAATACATCACACTTAGAAAAATAGATCTTTCAATACTATCTTACATTTTAGGATTTTACATTCAATTTAAAAAATACATTGTGTTAAACAGCAAACTTAGACACAATCTCTTTCATTTTAGCTTTCATATATCTAATTCAACAAATATTTGCCAGGAATGTACTCTGCACAAAGCAAATTCATAATCATAGAGGAATTATGTACTTGTTTTGACCAAAGCCTTACTACTTCAAAGTAAAATAACTGCCCCAAAGTAAAGGAATCTATAATGGAGTGCTCAGAATTGGCAAAATCCAAGGAGGCTAATAAAATCTGCATAGCTAAAAAATTTTTCAGATATATTCATTCCTCCAAAAAATATCTGAATACCTACTAGCATCCACTATTAGAGGTGCTAGAAATACAATGGGGAATAAAACAGACCTGATTCCAGCCCTCACAGAGGTCAGTCTTAATTGATCGGGTGGAACAAAATTATGCCTGTGGCTGTAGGACTCTCCCCAGCTTTGGGGGAAGCAAACAGTTTTTACTCTTTGCTACCATTATTTCTCTGTAGTGTTAAGTGGAATGAGTCTTCCAGTTCCCTTCAGTGACAGGAATTACCCTGTCCCTGGAATCTGAGCACCTCATTACCTCTCTATTCTTGGTGGTACAGGAGGCCCTGCCGTCCTCTCTCACTATCTACCAAGAGGAAGAGGGACCAACCTGAGAACAGGCACCACAACAAGAGAAGATACTCCCAGTGACAAAACGCTCTCAATTCCCCTCCTTTTAAAAATTCACTATCTTCATATAAAAGATCTATTTTAACTTCTCCTTTGGCCCATTTATAAGATTCAAACTTCTGGCTTTTTAGCACATTCTTTACGATTAAGACAACAACTGAATGCCATTAAAGACATGTATATTTGTAGAAATGTGTTTTCAATATTTAACAACCAATATGTAAAGACTCACCAGTGCTACTTTTCCTGCCATTGATATCGAATATTCCAGATGGAACTTTCACAATACTGCTGCCCCACGCAGGAGGTTCAGTAGGACTTGGTGGCTCTGCACTAAATTCTGAGTGTGTTGCCACAACAGCAGAGACATTACACACCTCTGGGAAAAAATACTTGGATGTTATCATTCCTACTTTTGCCAATACAGAAACCATATACTGACTTTTGTGGGGGTTTTTTGTACTTTTTCTCCAAGTGGGGGTAAAAACATAATTATTTTATTACAGATTTATTGTGTCTGATTTACTTTATCTCATAAATGTTGCCCGTACTGACTGAAATAAATATTTATTTTGATATTTAATAATCCTAACTTGATCAATCTTGAGTGAAAAAGGTTCTGGTCTTCAGTTATACTTGTCATCATATATTAAAGAGAGGGGCTTGCTTCTGCATAACTCTGGAGCATCATTAGGGAAAGTGTACTTTTGTTAAGAGTACATGTTTTCAGAAGTACTCCGTATTTCCATAAAATGACAGTAAATGATTTCATCTCAATAAGTCCCTTAAAAAAAAACAAACAGGAAAACCAGACTATCTTTAACCTTCTAATGAAAAATATTCACTTACATATTTGAAAGATTTCTACAAGTTTGATGGCTCACAATTTCATTGTATTTTTTGCCACAAAGTAGCTATTTAACTTTAGCAAATGAATACCTCAGTGGTTCAGTTTCCTCCAAAACTGAGGGCTGACCTACGGAGTCTCTGAAGTTCTCTTAAATTTTAAAATTCAGAGACTACCAAAATCTATCATATATAACAGTGCATGGTATTTTATAAATCTAGATCTTACATTTCTGGAAATTATCACCAAAATTATCAAATAAGACTTTTCATTAATACGAGTATTTTTCTAAGTAAAGCTACTAGGTATCAATACTTAACCTTCTGTTGGCACTTTTGTTTTAGTTATCAGTTCTCTTGCTTCTTGTTCTTCAGGCACATGAATTTCTGCATCATCCTTTAAAACTTCATCCTTAGACCCATAGCCTTGGTCAGACTGACCACCTGGTAAAAAGAATGCAAGCTTACATATGCTTTCATTCATATCCTTAATTAGTCCAACCGTAAAATGTCAAAAGGAAATTCCAGTGATCTACACAATTAGATTTAAAGAAAAGATAAGAAAGCTCACAAAGCTCACAAAGCACACAGACCATTTAAAAATAATGATAAGAAGCAAAGAGCTGCAGGAACAGGAACATCAAAGACTAAAAACCATTACACACTGGGAAGTATTGGTGAGCACTGAACCTTAATTTCCTCATCTGTAAACTAAAAGATATGGACAAGACACTTTGAAAAGTTTCTTTTGGAGTGTATCTACAGAACATTAGCTTTTGTGTAATGAAGGGGAAATAAACAGGTATCTGCTTATTTTTGCAAAAAGAAATGCAGGAGTAAAAAGCCAGAAAACAATACAACTGTTTACCTATATGGGGTGGAGGCAAATAGGATGGAAGGTATGAAGAGAGAGGAAACTTCTCTAAATATGGCTTCTTGTGTTGCGGGTATTTTTTGGAAATGTATTAACTTCTACATATTCAAAAAATTAAATCAGCAAAACGGATTGGGGGAAATAACTAAAATTGAAGGCAAACAGAAGCAAAACCAAGAGTATTTCATATGAAAAACATAACCACACTGAAAGAATTGAGGGAGGACTAATCCAACACATTATTTTGAGTATATACCCTAAGCCTGGGAGTTAATAGTCAAATCCCAAACTCCTTAGGAGGTTTGTTTCTCACAAGAGAATAGGTGTATCAATTCTGAAATTATTTTGTATGTAATGCAGGACTGAGCAAGTGAATAAATGTGATGTTGTTGGGAGCCAAAATTCTTACTGTAGAAGGTAGACTTTTTTTTTAAATGGGATGAAGCAAGGCAAAGAAAAACCTGTAGGGCTGATTTGGAATTAGATTTCTAAAACATATATACACATATTGTAGCTCAACTAAAACGTCTAGAAGTAGTAACACCCTGATAACAGTTAAACATACCTACAGCATAGATCTTGGTTTCTAAGATCTACTGCCCATTAAAAAGGAACCTGGAATCCTTGAAGAAATGGCAGATTCTAGAGCTCAGGCAGGGAAGGTAAAAGAGACAAGAGTATATTTTTGTGCAAGAAAGGAAGTGCTCAAAAATATGATGAAGGCATGTCTAAAGGACATAGAATAAATGTAGAGGGATGATACAGTTGGTAAAATCACTTTCATAAAACCATCATAGTAAATATTGATGCAGGCAAGAATCATCAATGAATGGTCAGTTTAAAAGAAAGTATGACGAGAAAGAGGATATTATTACTGCATAGTCTCAGAGTATCTCCTCACAGATAGCTTATTATCTGCAAGGGAGATAATGGTAACTAATAGAAACCAAACACTGAGACCTGGTGATCAAAATTAACATCAACAAGGGTCAGGCAGACATCGTGTGCCCCTGGGATGCAATAATCTGAGAAGGATATAACATTATTTTTAGAGCAGAGTGATGGATGAATAACCTAATCACAAAGAGATATCAGACAGTCTCAAATTGAAGAGCATTTCACAAAATCACTGGACTAAATTCTTCAAAAAGATCAAAGTCATGAAAGACAAGGAGAGGGTAAGGAAATGTTCCAGGTTAAGAGAGACTAAGGGGAGGGAGTTAAAGTCCCACAAAGGACATTACAATCCCCAAAACTGGAATACAGACTATACATTAAAATACTATATCAATGTTTTCCTGAATTTGTTATACTGTGATTACATAAGAGAAAATATCTTGAAGTATTCAAAAGTAAAAGGACAAGATATATGTAACCTCCTTTCACATGTTTTAGAATAAAAATAGTAATGTGTGTATATGTAAAGAAGAAAATCTTAAAAGGGGCAAACTAAATAAAATCTAGATAAAACTTATTCAAGAGTTCTTTGCACTATTCTTGCAGTATTTCTGTACACTTAAAATTATTTCAAAATAAAGTTTTTAAAAAGTGGCTTTAAAGTTCTATCATTTAAACCCAAAACTAAGGCTAGTTACTAGAAAATCAGTAAGGAGGTCAATGAAAAACACATAAAACAAAACATATAGTGCCTTCCACTTTCTACCACTTATGTTGCCTCTCAAACTTCAGGTTTACCATATAATTAATGAACTGAACTTCTTTAAATAACTGCTATGCAGAATGACTAACTTCAGTCACTTTTTTATTGGCCCCCTCAAAGTCTTGTAAAGTATTATTGTGCCATGAAATGGACACTAGACTGGGCACTGAGTAAACTGATTAAACTCAGATATGGCCCCCCAACAACTAAGTGACTCAGTATCAGGTACCAAGGGTGTTGACTCTACAAGATAATCCTTAATGAAAAGAGTAACTTAAGCATCTGGGCTGGAAATCTCCAAAAGTATCAAATGACATCATCAGAAACTTTACACAGACACATAATCACTGTAAATTCAGTATCAGGGCTTCAGCTATTTGAAATGCCCCTGAAAAGAAATAACATGGAAAAGAGATCTAACGATTTCCCCCCAACTCTTGTAATCTTTTACCCCGAGTACTAGGACATTGTTTTTTCCATTACAGGAGACATAAATCTACAGAGATAAGAAGAGTTTTATTTCTTATTATTCTTGATAATATGGTTTCATGCCACCATAATTCCTTGGTTTTTGTAAGTAGAATCCCCTTATTCTCTAAGAAATACAGGATGAAATAAAGAGGCTTTAAAATGAAAGCCTCCTACTTGTTAAAAGAAAATATAAATTCCTACTTGTTGAAAGAAAAGTTAATTTACAAACAGTACTGTAACTTACAGTTTTATGTTGACTTTCAATGGTTTATACATGCTTCTGTAATTATGGGGGTAGTTTTTAGCACAAGAATTCAGCAAATCAGTTTTAGCAAGCAACCACCTTGACAAATGGAACACTAAAATCTTTAAAACTATTGGACACGATGCTACAAACCAACCTCAAAATAAGAACTATAGCAAGGCACAGTATATTTTTAAATAAGGTAACAAATATACTTTGCAAGTTGGTTATAAAATGTCAGTTGATTTTTTCAGTAGTACATACAATTACTTATCTGAAGGAGAAAAAGCCAAGAAAACTAAAATTGTTTTCCATTTGAAACAATACTTAAAATACAATAAAAGATCTCTCCCCCACCCCTGTCATGTCAGTGAAATTTAACCTAATAAATGGGAAATTACCTGAAGTGGTTAACATTCAAGGGTAGAATTAATGCACACGTGTATCCATAGCTTCACGTCATACAAGTCTGCACCCCACACCATGACAGCCAAGGACAAATGCAGCACCAAGAAACAGCACAGAGCAAAAAGCAGAGCGACAAAGAGCAGAGAAAAGGAAACTTCAGTCATTGAGACCAGTTCATCAGATGATGCGCAGGAATTAGACTCAGAATTCTTTTCAAAGAAAAGCTTGAGATATTAACAACAACAACAACAAAAAGGAAAAGCAATACAAGAAGAAGAATGTACAACACACATACATCTTCTCAATGTGCTACTTTATACTTATTTCTAACTTGAATGGACCAAAGTTATACCCATAGCCTTGAATGTAAAAGTAGCTTCAGAAGGTTCTCAGATTTTAGAGTGTCATTTAAAGTAATGACTATGGCAAAGAGAATACTTTTTCTCATGGTGACTTATTCTCTTCACACTTTAATATAAATAATCACCAATCTTTAATAAGTATTTTTCACTTAATGAAAAAAAGATTTGCAAGTTGTGTTACTAATATTCAAGTTCCTCTGCTCACAATTCCTAACAATTACATCATATACTTTCACAAATTAATGATGAACAAATGCAAAGAAGCATGATGCTGGAGTCTTCTGCACAGCACTCCAAATTTATAGGTCCAATTCCTTCCTTTACGTATATATAGGTATGCTGAAGTACTCATATTGTACAAAGTCAAGAAAAGAGGGTAAAATCTTTTTTAAAAAAGGAAAGACAACATGAGAATACATGAAGGGTTAGTAAAATCCAGATTTTGCTACCTGTGCTAGAGTGATTATCAATGGAATCAAGCCTGATTAAATCTCTGACGAAGACTGTGTGCTCCCCACTGTTAGCATCATTAGAACTATCCACACTACCGTGGCTCACCGTGTCCCCATCACTTCCACCTGTGGCATTCTGAGGAACTAAAGATAAGGACAACAGCAGTTCAGTAACTCATGCACTGATAATATCTGAAACTAAACATGAATGACCCACAGTTCATTTAAAATTGTAGAACACTTTCTTAATTTGTGGAGGAAAGAAATACTTTTGAAGTAAGGTAATCTGTCTGTAGTTGTATATGAAAATATCAACCAATATTTCCTTTATGTTTTCTATTACATGTAATTAAAAATTCACATGCCTAGAAAGCTTTTTTAACAAGAAAGTATCTTTCCAATCACATGTATTACCTGATATTGAGGAGACCTGTGACTTTTGCACAGTCTTTTTAAGCGGCTGCCTAAACTGTGCCAAGCCATGTACCACGTTCCGTACCTTCGTCCATAAGAAGACACCACTGCGGGTACTGCTAGGCCACGGGCTCTCCAAAACTACCTAAAGGTAAAGAATATAAAGGTAAAAATAATTATTAATTGGTATGTTTGATTTTTTTTGAAAACATATACATATATAGTACATTTAAAAAGTTATAACCCCAAAACATCTAAAAAGTTTCATGAATAATGAAAGGTATAAAAAGAGATCAGTTTTAATGAGCAGCATATATTGCCTAATGTCAATCTCACTTACCTTATTATAATAACCATAAGTAATAGCATTTGGCTTTATCTTCGCAGTTTTCATTTCAAATAAGACTCTCACTGCTAAAACAGGATGACACCACAGTCCACAAAGCTGCATCACTACTCGGTAGCACACCTAACAGAACAGAGTATCAAAGCATCAGCAGCTGGCCTATTAGTCTATCTGTGACTTGCAGAGATTTTCTAAATGACTCAACTCTCCTCAGTCATTATTTTCTCCTTTGTTCCCGTCTGAGTCTCAGTAAATTATTTTTCAGACCTATCCATTAATGGAAGTACCAGCTTTATCAACTATTTCACACAAGACCTATGTGCACGGGTGCCATTTGTTTTAGTAACTAAGTTTACACAAAAAGAATGATTATTATTCTCCATAATTTGAGAAAGAATTCATTTTTAAAATCAAGTATGATTAAAATACATCTCTCCCAAATCATGGTTTATATTCTAAGCCAAAGGAATTAAAGACTGTGCATCTTAACAAAATATAAGAAGAAAGTTAAAAACCCTGTAATATTATTAGTAAAGGCTTCTCTGAGAATGTATATTTACTGAGGAGGGCTTGATTTGGAGGATGAGTCAGCTGGGAGCTCCTAAAAGTTACAATCTCACATATCAGAGGCCAATGAAAGAAACCATGAAGAATGAGTCAGGAATCTCAAGGATACCTGGCAAAGAGGTGAGCCAGTTTATAGGAACAGTCACAGGGACACCAAAGGCTACTTGGCTTAATTTGAGAACAAGGAGATATACATACTGAAGGTACTCTTCTCGGAACCTGTGATATATGCTTTGTTTGTGACAGAGTTGGCAAACAATGGTAAGCACCATTAAGCCAAACTGCTTTCTCTACTGAAGGGGAAAGTAAAAGTTTTGAGAAAGGATAGTTTACTGAACAGAACAGAAGAAATGACATAGGAAAAGAGATTTGAAGAGGCACAGGATCATAAAGATGAAAGTATTTGAAGCTAAAAATGAAGAGTATAATTTGGGAGCAGAAGGAGGTCAGAAACTGATAGAGCAACTCTATAAATGACCAAGTTAAAAAGTGTTAGAAAACTACATGAATCAGGAATAATTGAAGGGACCAGATAAGATGTATAAGGAATGAAGGAGAATGTGACACACCAGAGTTCTTCAAATATCTGGAGAGTTGTCACACACATAAAAGAGGAAGTGAACAGATTGTACAATTCCAAATAAACCAAAGGGAGGCGGACCTGAGCTCAACACAAAACATATGCACTTTCTACAATTAGAGCCAATTCAAACACAGGCAAGATCACATATACTACAGACTTTCTACAGAGCATCTCAGCTTTAGGTTGAAGTTTTACTAACATATTCTAAAATCCTATTCAACTCTAAGATTCTTTGAGCCATGCAGAGGTAAATCACTTTCCATGTCACACTGGAATTAATCCAAGTTTTCTAAAACCATTCTAGACAACAAATTTATTCTGAAGTCTGCAAAGTGCTCCCCCAACCTTCCAGATTTACCTGTATAGGAGCCAGGTACCAAACTAAAGAAACAGTAATAATACCAGGGATAATATTTTGTCAATTGCAGTCTTTTGTTACCTAAAACATCTTTAGACACTCTGGTTTCTCTTCAGATTGCATAAATCTTTCGCCTTTTACTAAAACATCTTTAGATATCTGCAGTAGATAAAAGATGATGACAAACTCTTTGCCACCTTTCCAACTGAGAGGCCTATGTCCCTCCACTTAAACTGAGATACTGCATGACCAATCTCATCCAAATAAAGTGATATTGTACTAGTTTCCTGACTTACACCTTAAGAAACTACCAGTCTCACTTCTCTCTTGAAACAAATGTTCTTGGAGTTCTAAGGTATCATGGGAAAAGCCTAAGTACCACATGAAAAGGACCTGAGACTCCTGAGACTACATGGAGAGACAGAGACCCATCGGAGCCCAGCCTTCCAGTCAACCCTGGCTGGCATTTGAGTTAAATTATTTTGGACCCTGGACACTACAGACAGGACCAGTTAGTAACTGATTATAACCAACTGATATCAGTTAGTGCAATGTAGAATAGAAAAAACACCCAGAATCGTTCCTGGATTCTCAGCATTTAAAATAGTGAGATTTCATAAAATGGTTGCCTTAGGCCACTAAGTTCTGCGGTGGTTTGTTTGTTATTCAGCAATGCATAACATACCTGTATGAGCAGACTGATGAGACAATGTAGAAATAAGCTTGACTTAAGTATTTCATTAAAAATTCAGTCATAGTACTAAAAGCAAAATGCATTAATTATGCACTTTAATTTTGCCACATTGTATATGCTATTCCTGGGTCTTCTCAGAGTTTTATTTTTAAACGAAGGTTAATAAAACTTTTACAAACTTAACATGTAGAACACAAAGCTGTCAAGTTGAAACATTAAGCACATGAATGAAATAGTTCCATCCAACAGGGTTCTAATGGAATATGGACCAATCAATCAAAACTAGTTACTTGGTGGGCAGCCTTATGTGTGTGTCATTTCATCTAAGTATAAAACTTCTTTCTTTGTAAAACACGTAATATAAATTGTCTCACAGTGTTGCTGGGAATACCAAAGGAAATAATGTACATGAAGATACTGTAAAAACTTTAATGTGCTATTATATGTATAATCAGTAAGCAGATAAAATCCATCAAATATGCCTAGCAAATATTTATTCTTACATTTTAAAATAAGCATTTCTTTCTTTTGACTGTAGAGACTTCCAGAGACTACAAATCTGTCAATGTAACTTGTTAGAAGTACCAATACAACAAATTAACCTCCAAATTCTAAACCTCCTATCATGGTGTTTATTGGGGAAACAGTCTGAAAAGGATTTTTTAGTTTACTAGTAATAATTGCTGCATGTAAGAAAACAAGAGAATGTAGATATTTGTACCAGAGTCTACCACAGAACTTCAGTACCTATAAAGGAAAATACTTCTCAAGTAATTTGTGATATGGCTTATGAATTTATAATTTATCAAAGAAACTTAAGTACTGTGCTTTGAATTTAAAGTTATATAATATTTGCTGTCTCATATACTTTAAAACACCTTAAAACTGTTCTATGCTTTTTACAAAAGTTTTAATTTTACAGAAGTTAAAGCACATCTTAAAACATTTCTTATATACAAAAATTCTGTCAGAACAAATTTTTTAAAACACTAAAATGTTTGAGGTGCAAAACACTGATTCTGGTCAAGTGCTTTTAATTTCAAATAGTTCTATAAATGTCAGATGAGAGTAAATGTATGGCTATTTTAGTACTTGTTTTACAACTATCTTATTTGAAAAGCTTTTATAACATATAGATAATATTTAGAGAAAAAATGAATTTTAGTGTGCCCACAAGCATTATCAAATCTTAATACTATACACATTGTATTAGTTTGACCTTTTTTATTTAAAAGAGGAAATTGTTGAAACCTGTCACGTGTCCCTCCTCTATTACCATTTCTCTTCTCTCCTTGAGCTATCTCATTATTTCAACTTCATTTTAAATTTGAATCTGGTTCTAAATATCATGTATAGTTATTTTAACACCAAAAATAATTTTAAAGGGAAAAACAGCAGAGAGAAAGCCTAAATAAGTGACTCAATTTCTTCAACAATTAACTGGATAATATCACACTACCTGTCTCTTAAGGATGGTTCTAAGACTTATGAGAGGTAATGCGTGTAAAGCATTTAGCATGTCATTCACTGGGTACACACTATGAGTCAAGTAGTATTCTAGGCACGTTATGCACATAAACTAATTCAATCCTCAAATTAACCTTATGAGGAAGGTCTAACTATTACCTACATCAGTGGGGCAATTTTGTCCTCCAAGGAACATGTGGCAATGTCTGCAGCCATTTTTTGACTGCCATGGAGGGTGAAGTTGTTACTGGCATCTAGTGGGTAGAGGCCAGGGATGCTGCTATGCATCCTAGATTGTACAAGACAGGTCCCCAGGATAAATAATTATGAGGGGCAAAATTCAATAGTGCCAACACTGAGAAACTCGGATCTACACTTTCATATACATCGTCTGAAGCACAGATAGACCATAAAACTCATTAGAAGCCTATTCGCTATCTGCTTCCTAATAAAGTCATGTTAAGAATAAAATGAAAAAAAAAAAAGAATAAAATGAAGTCAATATTATTTTCTATTTATCAAGGGCAAACAATCTGGTCTAAGCTAAGGTAGTCTCTGTTTCATTCTGAAATAGTACTTTTTAAATAAATGTATTCAAAAATAAACAATTAAGTACTAGTTCTATGAAATAGTCTTACCTTTCCTGCTTAAGGAAAATATCTGAAGACACTTTAATTAAAGCACCTGAGACCTAAATTTTCTTAAAAATATAAAAATAAAAATTTATCTTAGTAACAACAACTCAATTTGTTATACTTGCCTCATCTAATGGATCCACATCTGTTTTCCTCATCTTAATAAGAACATCATATGCCTGCTGAAGTGCTCTGACCTTAGGATGAGACACTCTAACATAGGCTGGGAGACAAATAAACCATAAACTGTAAGAATGACTGAAGAGACACTTGGCCCATTGCGGTGGGTTTGTGTAACATCTCTTTGCCAACTTATGAGCCGTTTTTATCTCCTAGAAAGAGAATAAATAAAACATTATGGTATTACTAAAATTCACTGACAGGGAAGAGTGAGAAAATGTAAAATTTGACTCTAAAATCAGGCTTTCATTGTTTCGTTTCTGTGAATGGCTTCCTACTTAGTGCCACGTGGCTCCTTCAACATTAACCTGAAGAATCACTTTAAATACACTGTGCTGTAACTTTTTGTTGGTAAGCACGTGTCTCCTAATACACTAGAAATTCCTTAAAAGCAAAGATCATATTCTTATGATAATAGTTAATTACGTGCCTTCCACATAGAAGGCACTCATGTTTTTGATGGATGAAAGGGATTTAACTGTAACTTATGACTTCTTCAATGTCATTCTTGAAAAGTAATAGCTTTCTCATCCTTCTCCCTGCTCAAAAGTTTAAGATGCCCTAAGCTATTTCCTAATTTCCACTCGATGCCCCCTTACCACAGGTTCTTTTAATTCCTTGAATGACCTATTCCTTCAA